AAATTCATGAAATAGTAGTTCAATAAAATTTTGAATGTGAGTCAACAAAATGAGATGACATGGCCTTTCACCCGTGACCTATCTCGAAGGAGTTAATTCTATCAGCCACCACATGTAATTTTGACCTACTGACCAGTGGAGGAGAACATAGTTAGAAATACACTACCATCCATGCTACGGGATTTACTGTCACCTTTATAACATATCCAAAGCTTAAAGTGCAGGTAACAATTTATGTTATTGCACAGATTCAAAACTGGCTCAACATATCTAAAATCCAGAGCTCTACCACAGGGCCAACCTATGATCTGCTTTTTATTATCAAACTATATATTCTTTATTAATGTAATTTAAAGTATGTTAAGGGAAAAAGCTTTCATTGTATATAATATTTATCTTAATATGGTATCTAGAAGCAAAATAAATGTGTGTAATATTAAGTATGAATTTATTAACTTTGTATTAACTTATCTTTCTGGTGGATTCTGAACAAATGAAACTTACTTGAAAGGCAAGTCTATCATAGTGTGGTATTTAGAAGGTAGCTGATCTGGCCCTCCTCCAACTTCAATGTATTTCTGTTCTATTACAGGAAGGTTGAGTACTAGTGCTTTAGTACGTGCTTCTTCTAGAGATAGTAGTTTGGTTGGGGAAGATACAGCAAAAGACTTTGAACGTGGTCTCCTTGACATTTCTGGAGATAAACAATCCCATAGTTTAAAGCAAAAGATGTTTTATACAAGAAAATATCTTGATATTAAAATATTATTTTTCAGGTACGGTAATGGTTAGATGACATACAAGTACAGTTTCTAAATACAACACAAATTTAAAAATTAGAGGGAACATTGGTTGTCAGTTAGATGACATACAAGTACAGTTTCTAAATACAACACAAATTTAAAAATTAGAGGGAACATTGGTTGTCAGTTAGATGACATACAAGAACAGTTTCTAAATACAACACAAATTTAAAAATTAGAGGGAACATTGGTTGTCAGTTAGATGACATACAAGAACAGTTTCTAAATACAACACAAATTTAAAAATTAGAGGGAACATTGGTTGTCAGTTAGATGACATACAAGAACAGTTTCTAAATACAACACAAATTTAAAAATTAGAAGGAATATTGGTTGTCAGTTATATGACATACAAGAACAGTTTCTAAATACAACACAAATTTAAAAATTAGAGGGAACATTGGTTGTCAGTTAGATGACATACAAGTACAGTTTCTAAATACAACATAAATTTTGAAGCACATCTTCAGTAAGAAATATATCACCTTACTTACCTTCTTCATCTAAATGATCTGGTAACTTTTCTCTAAAAATGAGATCCACGTATCTAATGAGGTATTCTGTTAAAATTGCTTGTACTCCAACAACATGAAGAGCACCAACTCCACCCCCAGCTTCCATTTCTTTACACCTGAAGCAAAAAACAAATTGATTCTAGTTATGAAGATACCACAGCTTTATGCCTGTACTAAGTTTTGTTTTGAATAAATCACGTTAATATCTTAAATAAAGAAATTAAATTTTTACTAATATTAATTAATAGATATATTGGAGAAATATAAATAAACTATACAAACTTACAAGAATGTGTGTGAACTTAAAGAACTACAGAATATCATGATCTGGTTTTTGTTCATTTAGTTATCAGGTGAAGAAGAGAGTCATAAAAAAACTACCTTAATTCGTTTTCACTGGAATTTTGTCAAAGCTGCTTTTAGACTACAGTATAGAAATGATACTTGTTTCTATCAATAACAGCTTTGAGAAATAAATAGATCCTTTATTGTTTGTACAGCTGGTTTATGGCTAAAATTTAGCATTTCAAATTACTGGACTGTTTGTGTAAGTGACTCCTAAAACTCAAATTTAGTGTCCATAAACTTGACTTTTCTTGGGGGGGGGGGAATTCTCTGCATAATAATGGATCAACTAACCTTGAGAATGTGCTATATTATCAGGGATGGAGCTAAATTTGAATGAAATAACTACCAAAATTTCCTGTTTTGAATTTTCAAGTTATAATAGATGTTACATAAGACAACACTTATCATGCCTGGTAACTAATTTACATAAAACAATATTACACGAAGATCACCATATTTATCTAATGTTCAACAGCATTTGAAAACAATTGAGAAATTTAAATGGAAAGTAAGCTACCTTCGATGGACTTTTATTTTTCTTTGTGAAATTATTCTGTGGAACCTACATCTGCATATCCCTCTCCAACCATGACACACACACACACACCACTCTTATCACTCTGGAGCTTAAGTTTTCATCTATCTACCCAATGTGAGAGATTCTCCTTACATGCTATTTGACTGAAGAAATAATTTACACCACATATACACACAAACTTCTCTATCAAACACAATTATTTTACCCTTTAGCATGAACTCTGCCATTATTGGGTGAATGAAACACTTTGGATGTTTCCTTGAAAAGCTAGTCAACAAATTGTATCAATGTTGCCCAGTTGTTAAGGCCATTTCCATGCGTGCATGATGTTGCAGCAGAACTTTGCAGGCATCAACGTTTTGTAGCACAGTAAAAACATACTGATTCATTTAGGAATAACTTACAAACAACAATGGAAATATTGCCAGCATTCAAGGCAAATTTTATGCTGTAGTTAGGTGTATACTTTATATATAAACTGGTTTGATTAATTGATGATATGCTGTCTTATTTTGAAAATGGAACAATTTCTAAATCTTATTGATTCTTAAAATGCAATCAAAATATCCAATGACAATGAAGTATTAAACTTCAAGTTTCACATGTATAACCAGGAATGTGGTCTAAAATATACCATGTGAAAGGCTAATTAATCAGATATTAATAAAACTGAAAATGAATTGGGGGGGGGGGATATAATAAAACAATTACTGAATGGAATTATGTAAAATGTGCATTTTATACATGTATATGATTTACTCTGTTTCTGACTACTAATGTTACATCACATAACTGAACTTAAATGTTATCCTTTATCGTATTAAATATATTTTTCAGTTCACTGACAAACACACAAATATATACAGATAGATAGACATATAAATTTGTAAACACTGACATACCTAAGTAAATTTGGTGCCCACACAATGGCAACATTTTTGGGTGTCATTCCAGTCTGGCTTCCCCATGATGCCACATTTGATAAATGTCTCATCAGATATTCCAGTGTTCGATAGTGAGGGGGTGGAAGTTGTTGTACAACATCTCGAATTTGGATCAGCTTAAAATCGTCATCAGTCTGAATTGCAGTCTTTAGCAATAAAAGAAGAATAGGTTTTGTTATTTATTTGTCTTCCACAAACATACTACACACATCTTATGTACAATATTAAATAGATGTCATATTACAGAACATTGAATTATCTTCAGCAGTTATCTTATGTTTAGAGATTAATTAATCAACTAGTCCTTCACAACTAATCTTTTAACTCGCTGCACTGTAGACAGATATCAAAATATTGTCTTAATAAATTCAAATGCTACAATTTACCTTTACCAAAAAGACAAACTGATATTTATTTCAAGATTTCTATTCAATGTTACAGAATCAAAGCTACTAAATTAAGTAATGCTTCTACCCACACTTATTCTCTTTCTCATCAGCTAATGAATTTCAACTTTATAATTTCATGGTTGATGATTTTAAAAACAGAAATGTGATCATGTAAAATAAGAATGCATAAATTCAGGTTTTTGATAACCAAATATATGAACAACAAACCACTGAGTTAACTGGACCAATTGTGTAATTTTTGAGATCTAGAAAAGTTGGAATAAAATATAACAATATGAAGTACTTGGTTTAGGGATTCTTTTGCTGTGTTCTTATTGGTTTTCTTCAAAGTTAACCATTTTCACTACTCTAGTCATGGTTGTTTGGCCAATAAACAGTCATCTCTATAATCACTCAAGTTTTAACTCTGGCTGACAGTGAAAACAACTTTATCATTCTTCATCATGCATTCCTCTGCAGCCCCCTGTTCTTCTCCTTTAATAATCTGCAGTGTTCTTCTTCATCACCACCAGTTTCATCGTTGTACATCTTGAAAACTCTATTCTGTAGCCCATTCTTTATCATCATTATTTTCAATGTCTTATTTGTTTTCATTACCACCTTTATAATCATTCAGTTCATTCCTTCTTCAGGTAAAACAGGATACGTTTTGTCACTTATTCTCAGCCACTGCTTGTAAGTTTCTCCAGTGTAGAGATTTTCTTACGCAAAACAGTTTCAACAAATATATTATGGTAGCTTTGAGATAGTTATTGTCCATTTAGAGAAAGTTAGTTACAATAATCTTAATTAAGCAACAAATACACATTAAAGGTTAGGACCATGTTTTCTTTTCTTTCAGCTGGTTGGTATTTTTATTAGTACCAACATAAACTCTTCTTTTGCCTCTTCTAATTACATTTACAACTAAGTTTTGAATCTGATACTTCTGATATCTCTCCTTCAAGATAAGTACAAGTTCAAAAGAAAATCTGCTGATTGTCCTTATGGTTCCTGATGATTACTGACTATAGATATTATATTACAGTAACATCGTAAAGTATAATTTGTAAGAGAGTTGAGAAACTACCAGACGAGTGCTTTTAAAACCATACCTAGTCTGGTTGATTCAGTGGTTTATTGTTAATAATGTTTTATTAATTTCTCAAAGCAAGATTGTTACTACGTCATAGTAAATGTTACTGCTCTCACCACAAACTGCTCATATAGTTGATACGTCAAAAGTGGGTTTGGAAGTTCTCTGAAGTACATCTTCAGCAGTGATGCAACGCAGTGAATATCATGCAAGATTGCTTCATCATTCAGATTTGGAGCTCTGTCTTCATCAAAAGCCAACCTACAAGAAAATAATTAGTTGACAGACTATCCAATAAGATATGAACTTTGGTAATTTTAAATTACATTGAGATAATGTTCTGTATATGGTGTAAATGTTCAAAATATTCAGCCATACATCTTAGTCACTTACTAGTACACAAGCATTATAAAACGTTTAAAGTAAAATCACCAGCATACATTATTTAAAGTTATA